TTCAGTAGGCGACAAAGTCGTTTCACGACCAACGAATTGAGTAGTGGTTGGAATAGCCTGACCAAATTCTGTCGTTACTTTATGTGGAACCGAACTAGTTCTAAGCTCTTGAGTAGTTGTTTCGACATATTTAGTCGTTATTCCACTCTCAGTAGGACTGAATGAGCTTCGTTCGGTAGCAAATGTTTTTTCTGTTGGTGGTAAAGTGGTTTCATGATCGACAAATTGAGTGGTCGAAGGAATCTTATCCTCCCTTTGGAGAGTCGTCGCTCTTGGGGGAATACCAGTGCTAGTTTTTATTTGCTCAGTAGTTGTATCGAAATATTTAGTTGTTCTACTACCTTCGGTTGGAGCGAACGTACTACGCTCAGTGGAAAATGATTTTTTAGTAGACAACAAAGTGGTTTCACGACCAACGAATTGCATTGTAGTAGGTAATTTTTCTTCACCACGCATTGTGGTTACTTGAGGAGCGAAAGTAGTCGTCTTCAATCGTTCCGTGGTTGTTTCATCATATTTCGGTGTTCTGCCAATCGGAATGAAGGTGTTACGATCAGTAACAAATGTCTTTTCTGTAGGTGATAAAGTCGTTTCATGGTCAACCGATTGTGAAGTTGATGAAATTTTCTCTTCACCCGAAAAAGTCGTTACTTTTGGAATATAAGTACTTGTTGTAGTATCGATATATTTAATTGTAGTTTTGCCATCATTGGGAATGAATGAGCTTCGTTCAGTACCAGAAGGTTTTTCTGTTGGTGGTAAAGTGGTTTCGTGATCGACAAATTGAGTGGTCGTCGGAAATTTATCCTCTCTTTGAAGAGTCGTTGCTTTTGGAGGAATACCAGTACTAATTTTTATTTGCTCAGTGGTTATATCGAAGTATTTGGCTGTTGTACCACCTTCAGCTGGAACAAACGTACTATGTTCAGTGGTAGATAATTTTTCTGTTGGCAATATAGTCGATTCATGATCAATATATTGAGTTGTTGTGAACATTCGTCCTTCGCCAGCGAGAGGCGTCTGCTTTGAAGCAGAACCACTCGTTGTGAATTGTTCAGTGGTAGTATCGAAATATTTTGTAGTTTCACCACTCTCAGTCGGAGCAAATGTGCCTCCTTCTGTACTGAAACCTTTTGCTGTTGGTTTCAATGTCGTTTCATGAACATTGGACTCTGTGGTATGCGTTTTTTCGCCACTAACAACAGTTGTTGTTTCTAAAATAGGACTGCTTTTGAATTGTTCTGTGGTACTATCGACATATTTGGTGGTTGTTTTGCCTTCAGTTGGACCAAATGAGCTTTGCTCTGTAGAAAATTCTCTTTCAGTAGGCAACAATGTCGTTTCACGACCAATGAATTGAGTAGTGGATGAAATATCCTTTTCAGTGGCAAGAGTCGTTTCTTTTGGCGAAAGAGTAGAAGAAATGGGATCGATATATTTTATTGTCCTTCCACTTTCAGTCGGTACAGTATTTACCTCCTGTATCGCTAGTATAGTGGTTTCGAGATCAATAATTTGAGTTGTGTAAGGTGCTTCCTTTTCTAAAGTGGATTGGGTTGTAACACCATCTGTAGATTGACTACTAAGCACAGTCGTGATTCCGTCATCAATTCCACGCATTGACATTGTTGTTTCATGATCAACTGACTGTGTCGTTGTGGACGATTTCTCTCCACTAGAGAGTGTGGTCTCTTTTGGACCAGAGGTACCCATTGAAAATTGTTCAGTGGTAGTGTCCACATATTTCGTTGTTCTTCCACTCTCAGTGGGAGCAAGCAAGCTACGTTCTGTGGCAAATGACCTTTCTGTTTGTAACATTGTTGTTGCATGATCGACAGATTGAGTGGAAGACGAAATGTTTTCTTCGATCGAAGGAGTTGTTTCTTCTGGAGCAAGAGTACTACTTCTAATTTGTTCTGTGGTTGTTTGAGGATATTTGGTCGTTCTACTACTTTCAACAGGAATGAATGAGCTTCGCTCTTCAGTTGGTACTACAGTCGTTTCATGATCAATTTGAGTAGTGGTAATAAGTTTCTCTTCACTCGAAAGAGTCGTTACTTTTGGAATATGTGTAC